ACAAATCTGCACCTTCTGCCTCAGCAACCAGAGAAAGTTGGTGAGCGCGGGGCGCTGGGGCGGGGGTGGGGGTGGGGGGGCGCCAACTCCCCTCAACCCACAGCTCAGGCCGAGAACGGAGCCGCCAGGGCAGGACTCCTCAGCGGGGCACAGCCAGAGACACCTGCAAGGGAGGAGCGCATGTAGCCGGCTGCGGGGGGCAGGCCTGGGGCCACCTCGCGGGGCCTCTCCCTAGGAGTCCCTGAGGCCTGCAGCATGGAGGCAAGAGGCAGGGATGGCCGGAAGGGCCACCTAGGGCTAAGAGGGTCTGGGAGAAAGGCAGGATGGACACCGAGCTGGGAGTGAGGCTGGGTCTGAACCATGGTTGATGCAAGCTTCACTTCTCAACAAGAGTGACCTGAAGGGACCCGAGTTCAGGAAGTGAGCGGCTGACTCAAGCCCACCCACCCTGCCCCCATGGAAGGGGACCTAGGGGGCAGTGAGGCAGGAAAGGAGGGAGCCCTGGGGTCCATTTGCCACCGCACAGCCGCTGCAGCCCATCACCAGCCTATGGCTTATTGGGGCAGCAAGGCAGAAGCTGACAGGGGCTGGGGCAAACCCCACACAGGAGATGCTGGCCGGCTGTGATTTACAGCTCTTGCTGTGCTTGGTGGCACCGGAAGAGCAGGGTGAGCAGGAGAAAATACGGCATGGCTTCTCCCAATCCCCATTTCCTCTCCAGACAGCACACGCGAGCTCCTGGGGCCTGAACATCTGGGAAATTTAATTTTACCATTTCAGTCGCGTAGCGGTGTAACTCCCCTCCCCAACACTCATGGGGGGCTCAGCGCCGGCCCCCAAGACCACACCCAGTAGGGCAGCCAGAGAGGCCTGGACTGGTGCTGGGTCTCTGCCCAGGCCTTGACACTCCTCCCTTCTCTCCACAGAGCAAGGACCGCGACAGAAAGACAGCGATTCGAAGTTAGGAGGTGGCCCACAGCACCCAAGAGGCAGCTGCCACTGGAGGATCTGCAGAGAGCCCCCACTGCGGACCTGACCCAGTGCAGACCTCCTGCGAGCATGCCCTCTTGTGGGCAGAGACTATGGATGGATGGATGGACGGACAGACAGACAGGCAGCAGCAGGGCTCTGAGCTGGCCCCAGCACTTGCCCAGGTCCACCGGGACTTTCCAGGACAGATTCATACCTGGGTTTCACATCTTGTGTCTTTGATATGATAATATAAATTCCGGAAATTTTGTATAATTAAAAACAAAACAATAGCTTCTTCTAAATAGGGAGGTGGATTGTCCTCTTGAAAGGTTTGGAATTCACTGCCCTCCACCCCAGCACCAGGGTGCTCCAGTTCTCTGGGAAGAACCCCATTTTCTAGGGCCAGGGCCTGGGCCCATCCTTTCCTGGACTGAGGTAGAGTAAGGTGACAGGCCCAACTCACCCAGAGAACCTCCTAAAGGAGACCTGGCATGGGGGCAAAGGAGTCTGGCAAGGGGAGAGGGTGGGCGAGGAGAGGACAGAGCCACTGCCACACGGAGGGTGCATTGTGGGCAGTGGTGGAGCAGTCCTGTCCCCACCACTGGCCTGCCTGGCGCCCAGGGGCCCATTAGGGTTGAAGTGGACGCAGCTGGCAGTGTGGAACCGAGACAGGCGGCGGCACAGGCTCTGCTGCAGAGCCTGCAAAGCAGACCCCCGGTGGCGGGCCCGGGGACACACCTGAGGTGCCCACCACCTGCTGGGGCTCCCCTGCCCTCCGGCCTTGAACTTGGCCCCTGAAGCACTGCTCACACTAGGAGGACCCCTGGCTATCTATGACTACCCCACCCAACTCCCGCAAAGCCCCCACCTGCCTATGAGGAGGGTGATTTGGGCTCCCACCCCACAATGTACGCAGCTGGTGACCATTAAATCCTGCAGGTGACGATTATAGCTTAGCGTGTGCGCTCAGTGGGCACCACAGAGAAGAAAGCAGGGCGGCTGTGTCAACCACCTCCCCCACCCACCCCCGCGGGCCTGCAGCCTGACTTCCGGCCGGTGGGCGGTGGGGAATGGCTGAGCATGCCAGGTGTGGGGCGGCTGGCCGGCCCCAGGCCACTCCTCAGACCCCTGCCTCTCAGCCCTCCAGGCCCTCAGCTCAGGCAGCAGCCTGCCCCGGCCCAGGGAGGGAGACCAGGTGCTGAGGCCCACGTGGGCATCCCTGCAGGGCCCGAGCTGCCCCTCCTCTGCATGGACGGGCTCCGGGGAACCTTGGAGCAGGAAGTGGTGGTGTAATTTTGGAGGAAATTCTCAAAGCCAGAGCCATTAAAGGCTAGAGGGGAGCTGTGTCCAATCTGATAGAAATTTAACAGGATAAAAAGTCACAACGGCAGGTTTCGTTCAGAGAGAAACCCAACCCTAAGTTTCCTCTCCTTAATCCTGCAGGAGCCTACAGCTGGTCAGAGAGAGGGAGGAGAGGGCAGCCCCTGCCCGCCAGGGAGGCCAGGCTTCAGGGGGACTTGGGGTGCAGCTGGGGGCTGTGGCAGGTCCCTTCCCCTCCTGGGCTCTCCTCAGAGCACCCTGCCCAGCCTCCCGCACAGGCACCGAGGCCACTGTGAGTGAGAAGCTGGGCAGGGTCTGGGAACCGGCTGCCCTCACTCCACTGGGCACAAGGTGGAGGTCAGTGGGGAGGGTCCATGGCCCACCTGCCCCTCACCCACAGGCCTCACGTTTCCAGAGCAGGGCCCAAGCAAGGGGGTGCTCACCTCCCACAACAAGTCCCACAAGAGAATGGGTAAACAGGTGGGCACAGCCAGTGTAGGGGCCAAACCAGAGGGACATTCAGGGCAACAGCACTGAAAAGTCCCAAAGAGCAAAAACCACAGAGTGCATGGGCAGGGGGTACCCTCAGCATGCAGGGGTAGAAGGGGGAAGAGGACGGGGGGTGGCACAGGAGCAGACCCCAGCGGGAGTGCGGGGAAGAGGGAGGTCAGAGTCCATGAGACAGGAGCTGGAGTATGGAGTGTGGAACAAGGCCAGATGAAACGGGATGGGAACGGAGACAGACAGAGGCCTTGGGGCCTGGAAGGATCCCCAGGCGCCCGGCTGGTCCGGGTGCGGCACGCGCTCGGCCGAGCCCTCTGCTGCGGGGCCTGACTCCGACAGCGGCTGCAGCTTGGCCAGCCCCAGGCCTGGGCAGCCAGCCCAGCCGCTCCCTGAGCTGCACCGGTAGCAGCAGCCGAGGGCCTGGCCCGCCAGCCAGGAGGAGGAGGAGGAATGGGGGGACACTCCGTCACCCTCTACTGCTCCAGAAATTCAAACCAGACCAGGGGTGGCGTGGGCTGGCCTCCAGCCCCATGGGCCCCATACAAGTCCACATAGCTACTCAGCCCAAGGACTCAGGGGTGGCAGGTGGCCCCTGCCCACTACAGCCCCTCACTTCTCCCCAGAGTGTTGGCCTTCCCTCCACCAAGCCAGGGAGCTGCAGGACAAAGACCCAGGGCTCTCTGCGTGTGCCCCACAGAGGCAGTGGGGAAGGAAGGGGGGCCCCTGGCCCGCACCCTGGGCCAGCAGCCGCCCCTGTGAGCCGAGCTGGGCTGGAAACGCTCCCCTCAGCCTCAGCTGTCAGCTCCCTGTCCCCAGCCTGGGGAATGAGCTGCTGGCGGCACCACATGATTCATCACCAGGCCGCCTGCGCCCGCAGCAGCCACCCCCACCCTGCTCAGCACCTGCGGGCTGCCAGGAAGCACATGTGACCCCTCTGGGCCGAGCTCTGTACCAAGCGCCCAAGCCAGGCTACCCGAGGGCACAGATGGCCCCAAGGACAAGCCCCTGGGGGAGCCTAGGCAGGGGTCCCCCCACCCCCCAGGCTGCACCGGACACAGGCAGCAACTGGCTGATGTGTCGGCTGGGATTTTTCCGCTCTCGATCAACCCCCCCCTCCCCTCCCCCTCCCCAAAGTGGCTGCAGCTGTCAGGACCACAGATTGGAACTGCAGGTACAGAGCTGGCCCGCCGCCCGCCTCCCTCCCGTGTCTGTCTGTGAGAGAGGAAGCCGGCCCACCTCTGGAATCCTTCACTCTCTCCTCGTTCCGCCTCTCCCACCTGTCCCCCGGGAGTGCGGGGTCAGCCGCCCTCGCTCAGCCTCTCTCTTCCCCGGCCCCTCTCCGATTACAATGCGGGTAGTGTTCAGTGCTCCTCAGCCCTGCACGCAGCGCCCGCCTGTCTCCAGCCGCAGGCCTTCCTGTGCTGCCGCTGCCCCTGCCCCTGCTCCCGGGGTTTTTCTATCTCTGCCAAAGCACCCGGCAAGGAGGGGGCTGGCCGCCTGTCCCCGGCTCACCTGCTGCATCTGACCCCACAGAAGGTTCCAGCAAGGATGCTCAGCCTGGAGCCCAAGTCCAGCTTCACAGACCAAAGGGGAGAAGGAAGGCCAGGTCTTCATTGGCTTCCTCCCACCCCGAAGTCCAAACCAGCTGAGGGGACACCAGCGCGGTTGGGGTCAGGCAGGGGAGCCACCTTTGCATACCTCCTCTGTCCCACAGCCCCTTCTGCTTGTCAGCCACAGTCTGGGGGTGCCTCTGCCCTCACCTCCCACTTGACTCCGTTTGTCTCTCAAAAAGCTGGCCAAGCGCACCCTGAGCAGTCAGGATCCTGCGGGCCCAGCACACCTCCACAGCTGGGAGTCACGCCACGGACCTGAGGGTGAGAAGGGGGCACCCCTCGCCTGGGAGCTTGTCCAGGACCCCAGCCTGCCCTGGCATCCAACAGACATTCCCATGAGGGGCACTCTGACTCCTGGCACCTTGCAAGCAGCGGCTCCAGAAGCCCAGGGCCCAGCCTCCCACAGTCCTGCGCACCCCCTGGTCCTCCTCAGCCTGGCCTAGGTGTCCACGAGCCAAGTCATAAAGGCCTGTTTTGAACCCCACTATTCAGAAGGACAGAGCTGCTGCTGCTGCAATTTGGGGGTTGTAGGGTTCCAGAGCCCCACACCTGCTCAGCCCTCCCCAGCCCTCAACCCCTAAATTCCATTCTAGAGCAGTTCCCCATCATCCCCGAGCACTGCCACACACATCGAGCCCCCCATCTGTGACTCCTGCCCCAAGCAAGACAGCCTCAGCCAGGGAATGCATACCCAGCCCCAGCCCTCTGTGGTCCTGCGCCCCCATACTATCCCCACCAGCACCCTGCCCCACCAGCCGAGCCTGCCAGTCCCAGAGCAAACCCCTCCTTTCAGGAGACCATGTCCCACCACCTGACCCCACCACCCATGTGCCCCAGCACAAGGGAGCCACAGCTCTGAAGAAGCCCACCTTCCCTTGCCAACCACACCCAGCCCCCAGGAGAGCCTGCTCAGCACAGCCCTGGAGAGGGACTGACTTCCACCGCCTGCCCCTCCTCACCCACCCTGCCCCACCCTCCCTGGGGTCCTCTCTCCAACCAACTCGGGAAGGCTGGGCCTAGGTCGAGGGATGGGGCAAGGTGGAGCAGGGCTCCCGGGCACAGGAGCGCATGGCGGTCATGGCCACACATGCCCTCCATGCCCTGCGGCCACTGGTGAGCCCCGCAAGTGGGCCCCTCCCTGGCGAGGCCGGCCTGGGCACACCCACGGGAAGGGACCAGACCCAAAGGGCCACCCGAGCCCGGCCAGCAGCTCGGTTGGGAGGCCGCAGGCAGGCTGGCGCGGGGGCGGAGGCCGCCAGGGAGGCCAGGCGCCCTGCTCGCCCAGAGCTCAGAGCCGGAGGGCCGGCTCAGAGCTCGGGAAACCTGAGCCGCCGGCGCCCGCCGCCAGCAGCGACGCAAGCACTGAGCGAGTGCGGGGCGGCGGCCAGGACGCTGCTGTAC